TGCGTTGCAGTTCATGAGCGGCATTTGTCATTTTGACATCGCATTGAGTGTCACGCGCAATTTGGCAGGTTCACTTAGGCGCCAGGCCAAAACGGACGCTACGCTGAAACAATCAGGGTGCGGGGGGAGGGGGTGGGGCGGGGAAGGGGGGGGTGGGAGGGGTAAGCCATCTCTCGCCTGAACCACACTTGCCGAGGCAGTCTCGCGTTAGCGATTAAATTAGAGACGGATAGAATAGGGATGCCGAATCTGGAACATGCTGAGAATCAATGCTCGGACAGGCTGCTCCTGAACAGAAAACCACAGGACTGTCGTGCAACCGGGGTTTAAAAGCTGGCATAGTTCGCATGGAGACCCAAACAGAAAGCTCGCACGCCTCGTTCTTATCTCATCTCTATCCAGATCACGCTGCTGCGCCGCTCCTGTCGCAATCAAAACTTAAAACTTCCAGCTTTTCTCCTAGTGCTCGAGCAGCACAGGTCTGCTTTAGGCAGCTCATCCATCGTCCTACAACTGATGGAAGCATTTCTGCACCACCTTCAGTTCCCTCAATTCTGTGACTCAAAGCGGTGCAAGAAGTCCTTTGTCGGCAATAGATGGGATTAGATAAATACAGTTACGATTTTTGGACAATCGTATCAGACGCCCCTCAAGCAGTGTCTCAGCTGCTTGGCTGAATCCCCACAGCCTCGTATTTATTCAGGACCCCGCGTGTTGCTCTCAGTAAAGACTCGGGGGTGGCCTCTGTTCAAGATGCGGCCCAAGCTTTGCATCTCCTGCCAGGTCGAATCAGCTCAGGATGAACGTGCCTGCGGTTCACTTGTGCTTCCATTCTGCATGGGCTGGGCCGGACTTCTCAATGGTTGCAGAACCCATTTCGAAGAGTAGCAAAAGGAATACTAATCACCACATTCAGTGTGACTTGCTGTGCTAGTAATACTTTTGACAAATGCCGCCATCAATAACGGTACAGGTAAGCCCAAAAACGAACTATAATCAGATATGATCAAGGGACCAGGGGTAAGGAGCAGCCGATCCCTCCCAGACCGTAGACTCCTCAACAGACCATATCAGAATATGAGTACCACAATAAACAGAACGATGTAAAAAACCGGACCTATTTGAAACAGCTACAAGATGGGTGAAGTCGGGGCTGCTTTGCCGCGTCTTTGCCTCTTTGCCATCTGAAAATTATGGAACTGAGGATTACAGAATTGTGGAATTCGGGAACCTGACACTACTACAAACAAAAAGCCAAACAAAGCAGTGCCTGAACTACTAGGTGCGCGGGACATACTCGCCCGTGGTACGGAAAGGGGATAGAGCGTCTTCGGTGTGTGGAAAAATGTAGCAGGCGTTTGACTTTTGGACACCTTTTCAAAACTGCCCTCCTTCGCGAGCCTCGCCCAAACGAACTGCAGCAGGATGCAGCTCAAACGCGAAAAGTAGTGAGCTCTGCAAGCTCAGCTGCCAAAGTAGTTTTGACAAGGCCCATTTTTTGACCTTAACTTGCCTTTTTTCCATAGAAGAGTGTACTGTAAACTATAACGTCCAAATGTCCTGAGGCTACGAATACTTGAAATTCTTGGGGTGGGAGGTCTTGAGTGACTACGGTACTGTAAACTGCAGTTTGTACAGGGCGGACGCGTTTTTTCCTAGGCGTGGCTGTAAAGGATTTTCCTAGGCGCGGCTGTAAGGATTTCCTATAAGCCGGCGGCTGCAAGGATTCCCTACACGTCCGGGGGCCCGAAGGATCCCGAAGCCGTATTTTTTTTCCTAGCCGCGCCTGAAAGATTCCCCACAGCCACGGCAAGGGAAAAAAGACACGCCCGCGGGTCGAAGCGTATGTTTTTCCTAGGCGCGGGTGTAAATGATTTGGCTAGCCACGGCTGGAAGGATGAAGAGAATTCCGGACGCTCCACGCGCCAGCTCTCCAACGCACCGAAAACAACGAGATGGTTGCCGCTACGCCCAGAATTTCGAGGACGCTCCACGCGCCAGCGTCACGACGCGCCTAAAACAACGACCTTCTGTCAGTGATCACAGCATGGCGTCACGCTAGCGCGTGAAGCGTCCTCGAAATTCTGCGCGTAAGTGCTGACCCTCTCGTTGAGCGCATCGTGACGCTGGAGTGTGGAGCGTCCTCGAAATTCTGGGCGTAAGTGGCGACCCGCGCGTTGTTTCAGGCGTGTCGTGACGCTGGCGCGTGGAGCGTCCTCGAAATTCTGGGCGTAAGTGGCGACCTTCTCGTTGTTTTCCGCGTGTCGTGACGCTGGCGCGTGGAGCGTCCTCGAATTTGTGGCAGTAAGTGG